TCCTTGGTTACTATAAGAGCTTGTGTAGCGAACGCAAACGCGGTTTCGCGTCGTCCGCCTCAGTTTCGGCCCTTGTTTTGACTCGGGAGGCGTGTCCAAACGCCAGGTAACCACTATATAGCGAGCACGCTAGCATTAGTCGGCAGGAGAAGCACTTTATCAGCATCTAGACCAGCAGCCTGTAAGTACATTTAAGATTTGTTTCAGTTGTTGTGTATGGTTTGAGGACTTGTTTCCAGCTGTTTGTGTAAAGTTGTAGGACATTTAAACTTGCTTTCAGTTGTGTATAATACTAGAAGTTGTTTAGCCACTGTTTCCTTGGTTACTATAAGAGCTTGTGTAGCGAACGCAAACGCGGTTTCGCGTCGTCCGCCTCAGTTTCGGCCCTTGTTTTGACTCGGGAGGCGTGTCCAAACGCCAGGTAACCACTATATAGCGAGCACGCTAGCATTAGTCGGCAGGAGAAGCACTTTATCAGCATCTAGACCAGCAGCCTGTAAGTACATTTAAGATTTGTTTCAGTTGTTGTGTATGGTTTGAGGACTTGTTTCCAGCTGTTTGTGTAAAGTTGTAGGACATTTAACCTTGCTTTCAGTTGTGTATAATACTAGAAGTTGTTTAGCCACTGTTTCCTTGGTTACTATAAGAGCTTGTGTAGCGAACGCAAACGCGGTTTCGCGTCGTCCGCCTCAGTTTCGGCCCTTGTTTTGACTCGGGAGGCGTGTCCAAACGCCAGGTAACCACTATATAGCGAGCACGCTAGCATTAGTCGGCAGGAGAAGCACTTTATCAGCATCTAGACCAGCAGCCTGTAAGTACATTTAAGATTTGTTTCAGTTGTTGTGTATGGTTTGAGGACTTGTTTCCAGCTGTTTGTGTAAAGTTGTAGGACATTTAACCTTGCTTTCAGTTGTGTATAATACTAGAAGTTGTTTAGCCACTGTTTCCTTGGTTACTATAAGAGCTTGTGTAGCGAACGCAAACGCGGTTTCGCGTCGTCCGCCTCAGTTTCGGCCCTTGTTTTGACTCGGGAGGCGTGTCCAAACGCCAGGTAACCACTATATAGCGAGCACGCTAGCATTAGTCGGCAGGAGAAGCACTTTATCAGCATCTAGACCAGCAGCCTGTAAGTACATTTAAGATTTGTTTCAGTTGTTGTGTATGGTTTGAGGACTTGTTTCCAGCTGTTTGTGTAAAGTTGTAGGACATTTAAACTTGCTTTCAGTTGTGTATAATACTAGAAGTTGTTTAGCCACTGTTTCCTTGGTTACTATAAGAGCTTGTGTAGCGAACGCAAACGCGGTTTCGCGTCGTCCGCCTCAGTTTCGGCCCTTGTTTTGACTCTCGAGGCGTGTCCAGCTGAATTCAATCAGCTAGTGCTTTGGGGTTATATAAACAACTAGTTCACCGCGGCAGCGGTCGCGGCAGCCTCGTGTGAAGACCGCCTCGTGTGAAGACCGACGAGGGTAAAGACCATCGACTCTACCTGCGCGACTCCACCGAGCAAAGACACCGACAAAGCACTTGAGTACTTTACTGTATTGTTTTACTTTACACTTATTTTTTGTTGTCAGTGCACTTTTATTATGTGTTTTCTAATTCCTGTTGTTACTAACACTCGCAAAACACGGGAGGTGCGCTGCAGGCGTAATCCTCACAACCTTCGTTCAATACATGTATCTACTATTTCACAACTCTCTCTCCCCGTGGGCCTCTGGAATTGTCAATCAGCTGTTAACAAGGCTGATTTTATTACCTCCATAGCTACATATTCTGACTATAATCTCATGGCTCTAACTGAGACCTGGTTGAGGCCGGAGGACACTGCTACACATGCTACTCTTTCTGCTAATTTCTCTTTTTCCCACACTCCTCGTCAGACAGGGAGAGGGGGTGGGACTGGACTACTAATTTCCAAAGAATGGAAATTTACTCTGATACCGTCCCTGCCAACAATCAGCTCCTTTGAATTCCATGCAGTCACCATTATCCACCCCTTCTACATAAATGTGGTTGTCATCTACCGCCCACCAGGTAAATTAGGTCACTTCCTAGATGAACTGGATGTTCTTCTCTCATCTTTTTCTAATTTTGCCACTCCCTTATTGGTGCTAGGTGACTTCAACATTTACGTTGACAAACCGCAAGCTGCAGACTTTCAGACTTTGCTTGCCTCTTTTGACCTAAAAAGAGCACCTACTTCTGCTACCCACAAATCAGGTAATCAGCTAGACCTTATTTACACACGACACTGCTTCACTGATCAAACAATAGTAACTCCACTACAAATATCTGATCATTTCCTTCTGTCTCTCAACATCCACATTACTCCTGAGCCGCCACACACTCCTACACTGGTTACCTTTCGCAGAAACCTACGATCTCTCTCACCCAATAGACTATCCACCATTGTTTCAGACTCTCTTCCTCCATCTCGCAAACTCACTGCACTTGATTCGAACAGTGCCACTAATACACTCTGCTCCACACTAGCATCATGTCTAGACCGATTATGTCCTCTTGCATCCAGGCCAGCCCGTGCCAGTCCTCCTGCACCCTGGCTCTCGGATGCTCTCCGTGAGCATCGCTCAAAACTTCGGGCTGCGGAGAGAATTTGGCGGAAAACTAAAAATCCTGCACATCTCTTAACATACCAAACTCTTCTGTCCTCTTTCTCAGCTGAGGTTACTTCTGCAAAGCAGACGTATTACCGTCTGAAAATCAACAATGCCACTAATCCTCGCCTACTTTTTAAAACATTTTCCTCCCTCCTCTATCCTCCTCCTCCACCCGCATCCTCCACACTTACTACTGATGACTTTGCTACATTCTTCTGCACCAAAACTGCAAAAATCAGTGCTCAATTTGCTGCACCTATAACAAACACGCAAGGTACACCAGCAACACCACACACACTCACCTCTTTTTCTCAGCTCTCTGAATCTGAGGTGTCCAAACTGGTGCTATCTAGCCATGCAACCACCTGTCCACTCGATCCCATTCCCTCTCATCTCTTGCAAGCCATCTCTCCTGCAGTCATACCAACACTGACTCACATAATTAACACATCTCTTGACTCTGGTTTATTCCCCACTACATTTAAGCAGGCTAGGGTAACCCCACTGCTAAAGAAACCCAACCTGGACCATACGCTACTTGAAAACTACAGACCAGTATCCCTGCTTCCATTCATGGCCAAGATTCTGGAGAAAGTAGTGTTCAATCAAGTCCTGGACTTTCTTACTCAAAACAATCTCATGGACAACAAGCAATCCGGCTTTAAGAAAGGCCACTCAACTGAGACTGCCCTGCTCTCGGTCGTGGAGGATCTCAGACTGGCTAAAGCAGACTCTAAATCATCAGTCCTCATTTTGCTGGACTTGTCAGCTGCTTTTGACACTGTCAACCACCAGATCCTGCTATCTACGCTTGAGTCACTGGGCGTTGCGGGCACTGTTATACAATGGTTCAGATCTTACCTCTCTGACAGGTCATTCAGGGTGTCTTGGAGGGGAGAGGTGTCCAACCTACAGCATCTAAACACTGGGGTACCTCAAGGCTCTGTTCTTGGGCCACTTCTCTTCTCCATCTACACATCATCTCTAGGACCAGTCATCCAGAGACATGGATTCTCCTACCACTGCTATGCTGATGATACCCAGCTATACCTCTCTTTTCATCCTGATGATCCCTCGGTTCCAGCTCGTATCTCAGCCTGCCTGTTGGATATTTCACACTGGATGAAAGATCATCATCTTCAGCTGAACCTCGCAAAAACGGAAATGCTTGTAGTTTCTGCCAACCCGACTCTACACCATAACTTTTCAATCCAGATGGATGGGGCAACCATTACTGCATCCAAAATGGTGAAAAGCCTTGGAGTAACGATTGATGACCAACTAAACTTCTCTGACCACATTTCTAGAACTGCTCGATCGTGCAGATTTGCACTCTATAACATCAGAAAGATCCGACCCTTCTTATCTGAACATGCAGCTCAACTCCTTGTTCAAGCTCTTGTTCTCTCCAAACTGGATTACTGCAACTCTCTACTAGCTGGGCTTCCAGCTAACTCTATCAAGCCTCTTCAACTGCTCCAAAATGCAGCAGCACGAGTTGTCTTCAATGAACCTAAACGAGCACATGTCACTCCGCTGCTAGTCCGTTTGCACTGGCTGCCAGTTGCTGCTCGCATCAAATTCAAAACTCTGATGTTTGCCTACAAAGTGACTTCTGGCCTAGCACCTTCTTATTTGCACTCACTTCTGCAGATCTATGTGCCCTCCAGAAACTTGCGTTCTGTGAATGAACGTCGCCTCGTGGTTCCATCCCAAAGAGGAAAAAAATCACTTTCGCGAACGCTCACGCTCAATCTGCCCAGTTGGTGGAATGAACTCCCTAACGGCATCAGAACAGCAGAGTCACTCGCTATTTTCAAGAAACGACTAAAAACTCAACTATTTAGTCTCCACTTCACTTCCTAATCTGCAATTGCCTATTTGAATATCACACTAACTGTACAAAAAAAAAATATATATATATATATTACTAACACTTCCCTTCTTAGACTTTACAGACCTGAAACTTGCCTTTAGTACTTATTCATTGTTGCTCTTAGTGGTGTAAATTGCTTCCTTGTCCTCATTTGTAAGTCGCTTTGGATAAAAGCGTCTGCTAAATGACTAAATGTAAATGTAAATGTAAATAGGTGCTTGTGTTTTTTGACTGTGGGACGAAACCAGAGTACCCGGGAAAAACCCACGCGAACACGGGGAGAACATGCAAACTCAGCACAGAGAGTGTCGGCTGGCTCATCTAGTGGGGGGGGGCCTTCCAAAATGAAGATGAGGAATGGAGTTTAGGCTGAATATTTATATAAAATTTGGAATGATCTGATTGGCTAGTTAATGATTAGTGGTAGGGATCTGCTGTAGTCAATCCTATCATATGCTCCTCTCGAAATTAGTTTTTGAAACTTCACTTATATTAAACTAACTAACCTTCTGAGCAGAAGTCTCCCTGTCGGCCGAGGTTGCAGTGACATCGAGAGCCGCCAGTGTCGTAATCATTGATGCAGAAGCTGTCAGCAGGGCAGACCGTCTCTTCACATGGCACATCATAGACTCGAGCTCTTTCCCCTTTCCATGGTGTCATTGATGGACTGGAAGATGGCACTGCGGGAGGAGGCGTGGCAGTCCGTACAATGGGTGTGGCTGTTGTCCTGGACGTGGTTGTCATGGTTACAGTTGTAGTTGTTGTTGTTGTGGTCCATATCGATGCTGTTGTCGGAGTGAAGCTGATATTTGGGGAAACAGGGGTTCGCATCCTGTAAATAACATTCCCATTTCCAGGAGTCCCGATGCGGGAGCGTAGCTGAGACCGCCTGCCGCTCTTCTTACTGCTAGGAAACTTCATCTGCAAAATATGAAGTTAGGGTCAAAATTATTTGCCCACCTGTGATTGTTGTTTTCTTTTTCAAATATTTCCCAAATGATGTTTAACAGAGCAAGGAAGTTTTCACAGTATGTCTTGATAATATTTTTTCTTCTGGAGAAAGTCTTATTTGTTTTATTTTGGCTAGAATAAAGGCAGTTTTTAAATTTTTTAAAAAACAATTTAAGGTCAACATTATTAGCCCCGTTAAGCTATATTTTTTATTGACTGTCTATAGAACTGTCATATAATAACTTGCCTAATTACCTTAATTTGCCTAATTAACCTAGTTACGGCTTTAATTGTTCTCTTAAGCTGAATACTAACTTATTGAATAATATCTAGTAAAATATTATTAGCTGTCGACATGACAAAAATAAAAGAAAAGATTTATTAAAACTGTTATGACAAAAACAATAAAAAAAAATCTCTCACCTCCTCAATGAAGAAATCATAGTCAGAGTCATCGATATCAAGCTTGTCTTCATCTTTATTATCAGAGTTTGAGATGTAGACGTCATAGTCTCCACTGCCTGTGTCCACTGAACCTGTTTTTAAAGCGGGACATTGTAAATTAACATTAACATTAACATTGTAAACTAATCATTATGATCTCATGCACAGAATACATGTGATTTTCAGATTTCAAAAACATGCGACAAATATCCAGTAGAAGGTCTCTAAGACTTGTTACACCAGCAAAAAACATGATATAAAATACCATATAAAATACACAGCATCTATGGTGAATCCTCGTAAATCACCAGTGTGTGTGTGGTGGTCTTTGCTAATCTGTCTGCTCAGGGGTTGTGTGTGAGCAACTAGCTCTATGTATATGGGCAGGCTTTAAGATGCTTAATCTAATAAGTCTGGTCATTCCAGCCACCGTGCCTGCAAAAACAACCCTCTTTAAATGTGCAAAGAGCATCCAAATGACAACAATCGCACAATAAAGCATGCAAACCGCACACAAATTTTCATTTAGACCCTTTTATGCATAGTAGTTTACCATGCATATATTATAGGGCACGATGGTTATAGTGTAAAGTACAGTAAGTAGACACAAAGTGATGTCCTGATCACGCTTTGACTCACCGAGAGTGCGAACGGGGTTGTTTATGGCACTGGGAGGGCTGATGCCGTGTGCATTTACGGCTCGGATCACAAACTGGTACTCTGTCTCAGGAATCAGACCCTTGAGCACCATAGAGTTGGACTCCACAGGCTCTCTGATGTACGTCCACTCAGTGTCCATCTCCGGCCTGCAACACACAAACAGACAACGCTACAGTAAGATAACAACACGTGCAGTCATAGCAAAAAGTTTACATTATGTTCACTACAGCTTACACTGCAAAAATGCTTTACTTAGTAGATTTTTTGTCTTCTATCTAGTCTAAATATCTAAAAATTCTTAAATCAAGAAGCATTGTCAAGACAAGCAGAAAATATTGTTTTGTTTTAAGAAATAATATGCCAAAACTAAGTTAGTTTTTCAGGTGAGGCAGTGGCGCAGTAGGTAGTGCCTCACAGCAAGAAGGTCGCTGGGTCGCTGGTTCGAACCTTGGCTCAGTTGGCGTTTCTGTGTGGAGTTTGCATGTTCTCCCTGCCTTCGCGTGGGTTTCCTCCGGGTGCTCGGGTTTCCCCCACAGTCCAAAGACATGCGGTACAGGTGAATTGGGTAGGCTAAATTGTCCGTAGTGTGTGAATGTGTGTGTGGATGGTTCCCAGAGATGGGTTGTGGCTGGAAGGGCATCCGCTGCGTAAAAACTTGCCAGATAAGTTGGTGGTTCATTCCGTTGTGGCGATCCCAGATTAATAAAGGGACTAAGCCGACAAGAAAATGAATGAATGATGTAAGTTTTTCCTTAAAAAGGGCAAAATAATCTGCCAATAGGGTAAAAAAATTAATCTTATGTCAAATGGAAAAATGTAGATTATTTTGCTCACCCCATTGGCAGATTATTTAGCTTGTTTTAAAAAAAATTACTTAATTTTGGCGTATTATTTCTTAAAACAAAGCAATAATTCTTGTCTAGAAAATGCGTCTTGATTTTATAATTTTAAGCTATTTGGACTAGAAAAGAACAACAAAAAAAATCTAAGTAAGAAAACTTGGCTGACCCTTTACAAGTCCGTGAATATTAATGGGCAGCTTTCAAAAGTTAGCCCAGTAAAGTATGGGGTGCCTCAAGGATCAGTTTTAGGCCCTTTACTGTTTACAATTTACATGCTACCCCTGGGAGACATTATTAGAAGACATGGGATCAGCTTTCACTGCTATGCAGATGATACTCAATTGTATATTTCAACTAAACCTGATAAGACGTCTGAACTGTCTAAGCTAACTGAATGTATAAAAGATGTTAAAGACTGCATGACCAACATTTTTCTCAGACAAAACAGAATTATTACTTATTGGGCCTAAATCCTGTTCACGGCAGATCTCACAACTCAACCTGCAATTAGAGGGATACAAAGTTAGCGTTAGCGCTACTATAAAAGATGTGGGTGTCATATTGGACAACAATTTAAGTTTTGAAAATCCTATCTCCCATGTCACAAAAATTGCCTTCTTTCATCAGAGAAATATCGCTAAGTCACGAAGTATGCTATCCATCACAGATGCAGAAAAGCTAGTCCATGCTTTTATGAATTCTAGGCTAGACTACTGTAATGCTGTAATGACCAGCATCCTCTATTAACAAACTTCAGCTAGTACAAAACGCAACTGCCAGAGTTATTACCAGGTCTAGAAAATATGATCACCACAATTTTATCCCCCTTACACTGGCTGCCTCTTAAGTTTTATATTGATTTTAAAATATTACTTCTTACATATAAAGCTTTAAATAATCTAGCTCTTGTTTATCTAACCAACCTTCTGTCTCGCTACAATCCAACTCACTCTTTAAGATCTCAAAACTCAGGGCTTCTGGTAGTACCTAGAATAGCAAAGTCGAGGAGGTCGAGCCTTCTCGTTTATGGCTCCTAAACTCTGGAATAGCCTTACTGATAACGTCTGAGGCTCAGACACACTCTCGCATTTCAAAACTAGATTGCCTTTTTAGTAAAGCATACACTCACAGTGCATCACTTAGCGGTATAATACATGAATGTGCTCCACGCAGGTTTCTGCATCTCGTTTATCTACACTATGAACAGCAGCTACACTAATTATTCTCTTTATTCTCTTTTTCCACCTGGGGATTCTCATCCCGAGGCCCTCAGACTATGCAGTCACTGATTTGATCCAAGACCAGCAGCGAGATGATCCCACGGTTTCCATAATCCTGGACCAGGCCGTATCCTGAGCAGCTGCTTTGGTGTTCATGCAGGAGTGGAGAGCATGAGACTGATTCCTGTGATGCATGGTTTGGGATCTGTAGAGCTGTGCATCGATGGATTTGCTCTTCAGTGTCTGGACTCTCATTAGTGATTATTAACCACACTGACCTGAGCTAAACTGAACTTAACCTAAACACTGAAAACTGAATGCGTACATGGGACCTATGCAAAAAGAAAAAAAAATTGCTAATGCTAATTTTAGAATCGCTGCATCCAAAATTGCATACTTCCACACTGCACTACTTGACAAAAGTCTAGTCGCCAATTCAAGTTTTTGGAAAAAAAATAACTTCTAGTTGATCATTTGGTATCAGAAGTGGCTTATATGAAAGGCAAAGGCCTCTAGATTACACTTATTTTACTAAAATAAAATATGATCATGCCTTAATTTATAACAATTTCATTAGGACAGTAAGGTCTGATTTTGCTAAGACAAAAGTCTTGTCACTGAACAGAAAATCCAGTATAGAATGTAAAGTCATGCTGCAGTGGAAAAAGAATGAATATTGTGTCTGACTCCATCATGAGGACTGCATCCATACATCTCTGCAATGACTCAAATCACTTCTTAATAAAAGTCATCTGGAATGGCAAGAAAGCGTTCATGCAGGACTCCCAGAGTTCAGTTCTTTGGCTTCATCTTCAATGTCTCCTCCTCCATCTTACCCCAGACATGCTCAATAATGTTCATTTCTGAAGACTGGGCTGGTCCATTCTGGAGCACCTTGACCTTCTTTGCTTTCAGGGATTTTGATGTGGAGGCTGAAGTATGAGAAGGAGCGCTATCCTGCTGAAGAATTCGCCCTCTCCTGTAGTGTGTAAAGTAATGGGCAGCACAAATGTCTTGATACCTCAGGCTGTTGATGTTCATCATCCACTCTGCAGATCTCTCGCACGCCCCCATACTGAATGTAACCCCAAACCATAATATTTCCTTCACCAAACTTGACTGATTTCTGTGAGAAACTTGGGTCTATACAGGTTCCAATAGGTCTTCTGCAGTATTTGTGATGATTAAGATGCAGCTCAACAGATGATTCATCTAAAAAAATCTATCTTCTGACACTTTTCTAAATGACCAATAGAAGTCAAGATATTATTTGTTGCTCTTACAACTGGGATCGATGACAAGACTTTTGTCAGGTAGTGTATATAGTATGTTAAAAACAGTATGCAAGCCGAGTCTGAAAGACAAGTTATATATATATATATATATAAATATATATATATATATATATATATATATATATATATATATATATATATATATATATATATATATATATATATATATATATATATATATATATATTATCAGTCCATAAATAAATATTTTGGCTATAGGGTCACCTTCTGGATCTATTGATCTACTGAAAATGAGAATATTCTACTTTGCGAGCATCAAATATCACTTCAGATTAAAAGAATTGAGACACATCTGCGGTTTGTGCTTTTCCAACACACAGAGACGATAAATTAGCCAGATTTACGTGAAAGGTTGTTAATCTGAGAAGCAGACGGTCTGCGGGGATGAACCTAATCTGCTGGTCCTGTTGCATAATTATTAACCAGGATTACAAACACACTGATTTCACACCCAAATACACACACACATATACTGTATGCGCACGTATACAGCAGCATTTTAACTACAAATGCAGCACTCTTTGTATAGGTAGCTGAGAAAAAAAACCCATCAAGACACTTTTTTACACATTGTGGACTAGATGATAAGAAAAGTGTGTGTTATATGAAAATAATTACAGTACAACCGATGTAATATAATATTGCTATTTTGCTCAACTATTCCTTCAATTCATACTGTATCTTGTTTTGAAAATTAATAACAGATTTTAAGAAATTATTAAGATTAAATAATATAATTAAACAGAATGCAAAAAAAGTAAGCATATATATATATATATATATATATATGTATATATATGTGTATATATATATGTATGCATGTATATATATATGTATATGTATGCATGTATATATATATATATATATATATATATATATATATATATATATATATATATATATATATATATATATATATATTATGAATATTATAAACTTCAAATATATTCTATTAATCTTACTTTTATTGAGAGTTTTTTTATTGTACAGTAAAACAACTGGGGTTAAGTTTACATTAAAATATTTTGTCAATAATACAAATACTTAAATAATAATTCATTTATTGATTCATTTCCTTTTCAGCTAAGTCCCTTTAATAATCAGGGGTCGCCACAGAGGAATGACACATCAACTTATTCAGTATATGTTTTACGCAGCGGATGCCCTTCCAGCTGCAACCCATCACTGGGAAACACCCATACACTCTTGCATTTACATTCATACACTACAGCCAATTTAGTTCGTCCAATTCACCTATAGCACATGTGTTTGGACTGTGAGGGAAACTGGAGCACCCGGAGGAAACCATCGCGTTCACGGAGAGAACATGCAAACTCCACACAGAAATGCCAACTGACCCAGCCGAGGCTTGGACCAGCGACATTCTTGTTGTTAGGTGATCGTACCCACTGCGCCACCGTGATGCCCGCCACCCCATAAATAATTAATTTAATAAATATTTATAAAATAATATGAATAAATATTATAAATAAAAAAGATTTATAAAATAAATCACAGTAAAATCAAACAAATCTGTATTAAAACAATATACATAAATCATTCAAATGAAGTTTAAATGTCTTTATGTTTTAAGTCATATTAAAATAACTCCAGAATTTATCTCAGAGATGATAAGAACGCTAAGCATAAAAGTAGCTCGAATATAAGAGGATTAATTTTTGTTCTCTGCATAATTCCCATATTTGCATTTGTTTTATTTCATGACTTTATAATTATTCTCAAAGTGAAATAATGCAGAATGAGGAATAGCAACTGAGCAGTCATTTATCAGGAGCTGAAGCACACATAATAGCAGACTGTTGTGTGCTGCGGGTCAGTTGTTTGATGTGTGTGGTCAAACACACTGTGGTCTGAATGGGTTAGTTGTGTTCTGGAACAGTAACTATCACAGAAATGCATTAGTTGTATGAGTCATCTAGACTGACGGGGTAAAGATCACACGCAGAAACAGCCGTCTGTCTCTAAAGCTCTGCCAATGCACAGAAAAAAACATCTTGTAGCAAATTAATTATTTACAAAAAAATAATAAAAATAAAAGAAAGTCATTGAGTCAATGAAGTTGAATGTAAATATTTTTCCAAGAAAAAACTGCAATCATCTGCCTATCTATTCATATTCTGTATTTGTCTGTCTGATCAATTTATCTATCAATGTTTATCCATCCATCCATCCATCCATCCATCCGTCTGTGTGTTCATTCATCTATCCATCTGTACAATCAACCATCCATTCATCCCTCCATCCATTCACCCACTCATGTCTATCCACTCATCTGTTCATGCATCTTTATGTATGTCCAACCATCCAACATCCATCTGTTTGTCAATCCATCCATCAATCAATCTGTCCATCATCCATCTATCATCCACCCAAGCATCTATCTGCATTCACTCATTCATAAATCCATCAATCAATCAATCCATCTACCTATCAATCCATCTATTTATTACTTAATGAACCCTATCCATCCATCCATCCATCCATCTGCGCATTCATTCATGCATTCATTCATTCATCCATTCATCAATCCATCCATTGAACAATCTGTCCATCCATTAATTAATAAATGAACACCATTCATCCATCCGTCCGTCCGTCTATCTGTTCATCCATCTATCCATCATCCATCTGTTTATCCATCCATCCATCCGTTCTTCATTCATCCATTCATCTGTCTGTCTGTCTGTCTGTCTATCCATCTATCCATCCACCCATCCATCATCCATTAACCCACACAACCACCCATCCATCCATCCATCCATCCATCTACCCATTCCTCCATTTGTGCATTAATTCATAAATTCATCCATCCATCTGCTCATTCATCCATCCATTCATCTGTCTGTCTGTCTGTCTGTCTATCCATCTATCCATCCATCCATCCATCCATCCATCATCCATCAACCCACACAACCACCCATCCATTCATCCATCCATCCTTTCTTCCATCTACCCATTCCTTAATTTATGCATTCATTCATAAATTCATCCATCCATCCATCCATCCATCCATCCATCCATCCATCCATCCATCCATCCATCTATCTATCTATCTATCTATCTATCTATCTATCTATCTATCTATCTATCTATCTATCTATCTATCTATCTATCTATCTATCTATCCATCCATCCATTAATTGATTAATTAATAAACAGTCCATCCACACATCCATCCATCCCTCTATCGGTGCATTCATTCATTCATCTATCTATCAATCCACCCATTGAACCACACGTCCATCAATTAATTCATTAATGAACACCATCCATCCATCAGTCCGCCCGTCCATCAATCTATCCATATATCCATCCATCTATCTATACATCTTTCCGTCTATCCATCTGTCCATGCATTCGTGCATCCATCTGCTGAACATGTACCTGATATAGGCCACCAGGAAGTAGAGCACAGGTGCGCTTCCATCACTCTCTCCATGTTGCCATGACATCGCCAGCTCAGTGTCGGACACTGCCACCACATTGGGCTGTGTTGGAGGAGCAGGAGGCATGCACTTTTCTAGAACAGAACATTCCATCTGATTACTTAACTGATGATCTAAACGCATGTGGCCTGTGTGAAAACATTTTACTTGAAGGAGACTGTCAAGGCACCTTTATTATCATAATATAACATTGTTTAATATAACTGAGAATTTATGCATGGTTATGCTGTTAAGTGTCATTTGCTCAGTAAGGTCATTTTAAATGCAAAGATGATATTATTTGAGTTGAACTAGTCATGACCAGATACTGTACATCATAACACATCTTTATCTTTATCATGCCAACAAAAAATGATAACTTGTCATAAACCTGACATAAACATAATTATCACAAGGCCATTGTGATTGTGTCATAAATATTTCTCTAATCATTTTTTTCAGTGAAACTAACTGAATCTGTCATTTTAATTTCTCAGTGAAATTGTCAATTCTCTGTCAGATCATTTAAAAAACCTGACAGTTCAATATTTAGTTTTTTTTTGCGATGCGAATTGCGCCATAAACAATTTCACGAGATGACTCTATTTAGAAAGAAGAAATAATCTTACATTGATTGGGATTACTTTGTAGGGGAGTGCATCTGAATAAAATGTACACAAACATAAAAATAATATATACAGTTGAAGTCAGAATTATTCACCCCCTTTGAATTTTCTTTTCTTTTTAAATATTTCATAAATGATTTTTAGTAGAGCAAGGAGATTTTTACAGTATGTCTGATAATATTTTTTCTTCTGGAGAAAGTCTTATTTGTTTTATTTTGGCAAGAATAAAAGCCGTTTTTTTTTTTTTTTTTAAATCCATTTTAAGGACATAATTTTTAGCCCCTTTAAGCTATATTTTTTTTCGATAACCTACAGAACAAACCATCGTTATACAATAACTTGCCTAACAACCCTAACCTGCCTAGTTAACCTAATTAACCTAGTTAGGCCTTTAAACATGACTTAAAGCTGTATAGAAGTGTCTTGAAAAATATCTAGTCAAATATTATTTACTGTCATCACGGCAAAGATAAAATAAATTAGTTATTAGAAATGAGTTGTTAAAATATTACGATTAGAAATGAGTTGAAAAAAATCTTCTTTCCATTAAACAGAACTTAAAGAAAATATAAACAGGGGACTAATAATTCAGGGGGGCTAATAAATCTGACTTTAACTGTATGTATACAGGAAAAATAAGTTAGATCATTTCATAACAGCATCATTTATATTGAGTTACATTTTAATCAACCCAGGCTCATTCTGAAAACGTACCCCTATACACTTTTCTGGAGAGTGCCAAATTTGTTCCAGGAGCTATGTTTCTTTTGCAGTTTTTTTTTTTTCCAAAAATCCACCAGAGGCCGCTGTGTACGCTTTTTCAGATCTAAAATTTCTAAAATGGCAAGTGCCATTCGCACCTGCTGTTCTACCAGAGGCCGCTGTCAACTAACTGACAGACTAATGATTGACCGACTCACCCTCCTCCTTCGTTCCGTTCCAAAAGCACCGATTGACCCATCCACCCACTTCCCTATACCCAGCCAACAGTTTTAAAAAGCAATCCAGAAAAAGAAAAGCCCTCACTTGATTTGATTTTACCACATTCTCACCGTTATTTACTTCTTTATTTTTTGGCTTCTGTTTAGTGTTTTTGTCTTACCCGCTTTTTGGCACCGCTCTTCGCCAGGGTCGAACCCCGTCATCATGGTCATCTCCTCTCTGCGTCTCAAGTTCGCAAACATCTGCAGCAAGCTACTAGACAAACTGGTAACAGCAGAAAAGCTGTCCATACGGAGGTAAGCGGTCAGCTGGTCAGCCATACTTATCTCTGGTTACTTGATTCGAAATCTCCAGAAATGCATATAGGGCTACGTTTTCAGAATGAGCCCATGTTGAACTCAATGACCAATTCAATTTGTACCACTGCAGTTAAGGTCAATAAAAATATTAATGATGCTGTTAATAAAACTCATGACACAATTATAATGGACTCATGACAGTCATGTTTATGACAGATTTATGACAAGTCATGTTGTCTAGGTAATGTTAAAGTCCACTTGAACCGGAAGATGCAGCTGTTTTTTTTTCGTATTGTGACTCAGTTCCTAAACAGCATATTAAATGAGAGAACAGTGGGCGTGGCTTGTTTTTTCAACTGCAAGCTGATTGGATGTAGTAAAGTAGGCATTTTATTCAGGAAGATCGGGAAAAGGGTTTGGGGAGAGTTATTACAACCTAACAGACTCCTACTCACCACTTCTGTTTGTTGTCAAAACTGACAGTTGGAAAGGCGTGGTTAAGTGTGTTAGCCACGCCCAATACCACAGACAGACCTAATCTGAGAATTTAACTGAAAACAAACACTGAGTTTTCAGGTTTCATTGAATACAAGGGCAACCTTTTTTTTTTCTTTCTTAATGATATGCACAGATGAATTGTTCACCACAAAAGTTGCAATGTAAGCAAACAAAATCAACATGCTTAGTTTCACTTGTTGTCATAACAAAAACCATGTCATCTATGCATTTAAAATGACATAACTGAGCAAATGAGACTTAGTTGTCATAAGCATGCATAAAATCTCATTCATATTTATAACGTATCTTATCATGATAATTAAGGTTCATGACAGTCTTATGAACATCCTCTTTAAGTAAAATGTTACCATTTGTGTTGATCTGCTCACCATGAGAGCCAGTGCTGATGTCCCGGGGCATGCTGGGTCTGCCCTCTCCTGCCCAGCCATACGCTCCTACACTGACCCGGTACTGCGTGGCCACCTTCAGATTCCCAATTACAACATCCTAAAAATAAATAAATAAATAAATAAATAAATAAATAAATAGGCTATGCAGGACAGCAGGTTCATAGCATTCACAAAAAAATAAATAAACAAATAAATCAGATGTTGAGCATTTACTCACAAAGCTGGCTTGACCATCAAACTGCCCCTGAAAGACAAACACATGCTGCTGAAGCCATAATGTGTATGGTAGTTGAATTATCAGGCACTGTAAATAATTATTGCTCACTTAAATTTTTTATTTGAATCAAATATTTCTAGTAATAATTCTAGTAATTTCAACTTATTTAATTAGGGCTGCATGATTTTGGATAAAAATTAGGGATGCACGATATATCGGCGGCTATATCGCTATCGGCCGCTAAAAAACATTTTTAATGTTATTGTTATCGGTCCGATATCAAAATTAGGCTGATATCTTTAAACCGATAGTTTACGTAATTGTACAGAACTCCCTGCCTTGATTGGGATGATTTTGTAGGGGAGAGCATCTGTATAAAATGTACAAAACTATTTATTTAAAAAATATATATGTATACACAAAATAAATTAAATTAAAAAATTAAAAATAAATTAAAGCACAGATAAAAACAGTCGAACAAAGATAAAAATGAACACTGCTTTATGGTTTTTGGTGAAGTCTAACAGTACTGAGGTGTAGAAATTCAATAATCAAAATATAAAATAACACACTATAGTCTTCACTGTATAAATAAATAAGCACATTTAATCGTTAAAGTGGCAAACTTTATAATGTCTCATGTCAAGATGGTTTAAATTCTATAAATAAATTCAATAATATTGCAGAAATTAATACTGAATGAAATGATATATTGTACAGCCCTAATTTTATTATTATCATTATTATTATTATTATTATTATTATTATTATTATTATTATTATTATTATTATTATCATTATTATTATTATTAATATTATTATTATTATTATTATTACTATTGTTATTATTATTAAACTTATCATAAATGTTTAAGCTATTATGATATCCTACATTTATTAATAAACAAACACATTTACATGTATAAATCTAAATATATACAACATGTACAGCACATATGAAAACTATTATTCAGACACCACATATACTTTTTGATATTTGTTTTTACTAGTGAATCCAGGAAAATAGTTTATTTATGTGTTAGAGGATAGCAAAAATAAAGTAAACTGGGACATATTATACCCCAAAACACTGTATACTACAGACTAAACACCAATGGGAAATAAATACTAAACTGTTTTTTTATATTACTACACTGTAAAATCCAAAAAGTTAACTAAAACCATTTGAGGAAACCGATTGCAACAAACCATTTAAGTAAAAAAATAATCCCAATGAGTACTGTGAACTTAATCAATTTGAGTAGATGAAGCAGTTTGAGCACAGTACAACTCAGTACATGAAGAGAACTCAAACCAACTGAGTACTGTAAAACCCAATCAAGGCTATTCAAACCGCTTGAGAAAACCAATACAAACCATTTGAGTTTAAAAAAAAACTAATTCTAATGAGTACTGTGAACTTAATCCATTTGAGTAAATGAAGCAATTTGAGCACGGTAGAACCCAATAAATGAAGAGAACTCAAACCACCTGAGTACAGTGAAACCCAATAAGTTAAGTCAACTCAAACCATTTGAGGAAACCGATTGCTACAAACCATTTGAGTTCAAAAACTAATCTATTAGAGTACTGTGAACTTACTCAGTGTTGAAGGTACAGTAATGAGTTAAAGACCTCATTACTTCAACTTAAAAGTTAAAAACTCTTTTAAAATGAGCAGAATTAACTTTTTGAGTTACCTATACTCATGTCATTTGATAAAGTTGACTGTTGGGTTTTACAGTGTAATAATAAATAATAATGCATTATTAGTAGCACTAGTAAAAGTATGAATCATAAAATAAAAGGTTGCACGTACCGTTGTGAGCATTTCTAAACTCAATGGGACTTCCAGGACAACAGCATTGCTGGTTGGTCGATTATTCCTCATCTCTGTGTAAAACACCTGGTTGATAAAATCAACATATACATGAACATCACCAGAATTTGAGGTGCATCAGAGGTATACATTAGTTCCTACGTTTCTAGAAGTACACTTTTGTAGCTTTCAGGTACCAATATGTATCTTTATGGTAGCAAGATCAACCCTTTACATACAAATGTGTACTCTTTGAAAAGGTACCACCCAGTGACAGCTCATGTACCTTTACTTCTGAAATTATTGGCCTGTCAATGCTCTAATATACTTCAAATGAAGCTCTATTTCATTCTGATTCATTACTTCAGGTTTCTGATGCACAGTTGAAGATTTTTTTTTCAGATTTAAAAAATTTTACAGATTTTTTCATCACGTTTTTTAAACATAATAGTTTTAATAACTGTTGATTTCTTTTATCCTTGCCATGATGACAGTAAATAATATTTTACTAGATATTTTCAAGATACTAATATTCAGCTTAAAGTCACATTTAAAGGATTTAATTAGGCAAGACATTGTTTAACAAATATTTTTATTGTCTACAGAAAAAACAATGTCGCTTAAAGGGGCTAATAATATTGAAATAGCATTTTTTTTACTTAATTTTTTTTTATTAAAAACTGATTTTATTCAAGACAAAAAATAAATAAATAAATAAGACTTTCTCCAGAAAAAAAACAGTATATGAAATACAGTGAAAAATTCCTTGCTCTGTTAAACAGAGTTTGGGAAATATTTAAAATAAGAAATTCACAGGAGGGCAGATCATTTTGACTTGAACTGTAATTCGAGTTTATCTTTTGAACTTCATTGGCTCTAAGTAGGAATTGCTTTGATGGTTGTTGTAGGATACTAAAATGAACAATAGGGCATATTTTATTATGTTCGCATAAGCTTAGTTTGTGTTCTGTTAGAATAGCTGGAGCGTTTTAAGACCTCTCTATTTTGAGTTTTTAGTTTAATTAGTTTAGATTGCGTGTTGTATACACTGATGATTCTGAAGGTTTCATTGTAATACTTGAATTTGTCGTCTAGTTTAATTGTTAGATTTAAGAATTGTTTTGTTTTGTTTTGTTAATTTCTTAGATTTAGCTAACACTCTTAATTTTTTTAATTGGCTACTAAACAAACCACTATTTTGCAATGACTGTGCCTAACTTGCCTAGTTAACCTAAACAGTTAATAGAACTTTAAGCTGAATACTAGTATCTTGCGAAAAAAATAAATAAAATTTAGTAAAATATTATGTACTGTCATCAAGGCAAAGAAAATAATTATTAGAGAATTAAATAAGTTTTATTTAAGAATTAAGTTAATAAGAATTAAATAAAAAAAATTAGACATTTAAAGCTGAAGGTGTTTATACCTTGTAGCCAGTGATGGTGCTGACGTGTCTGCGGGGCATTTTCCACCGGACACTGAACGCTGTGCAGTTCACTGTCTCCAGCTGGATGTCCAGCGGTGGACTCAACCTCTCTGAGAGGAACCACAAAACCACATGAATATAGCTTGGCAGAGAGGTCATTATGTTGTGTGTGTGTGTATACATACATACACAAAATACATACATACAGACAGACAGACAGACAGACAGACAGACAGACAGACAGACAGACAGACAGACAGACAGACAGACAGACAGACAGACAGACAGACAGACAGACAGACAGATAGATAGATAGATAGATAGATAGATAGATAGATAGATAGATAGATAGATAGATAGATAGATAGATAGATAGATAGATAGATAGATAGATATAGTGGGTATGGAAAGTATTCAGATGCCCTTAAATTTTTCATTCTTTTTTATATTGCAGCCATTTGCTAAAATCATTTAAGTTCATTGTTTTCCTCATTACTGTACACACTGCATCCTTATATTGACAGAAAAACACTCAATTGTTGTCATTTTTGCAGATTTATTTAAAAAGAAACAGAAATATCGCATGGCCCTAAGTTTTCAGACCCTTTGCTGTAACTCATATATTTAACTCTGTGCTGTCCATTTCTTCTGATCACTCTTGGTCTACAGCTTCATTTGAGTCCAGCTGTGTTTGATTATACTGACTGGACTTGATTAGGAAAGCCACACCTTTCTATAAAAGACCTTACAGCTCACAATGCATGCCAGAGCAAATGACAATCATGAGGTCAAAGGAACTGCCTGAGGAGCTCAGAGACACAACTGTGGCAAGGCACAGATCTGGCCAAGGTTACAAAAAACATCTGCTGCTCTTAAGGCTCATAAGAGCACAGCGGCCTCCATAATTTTTAAATGAAAAAGTTTGAGATGACCGGAACCCTTCCTAGAGCTGGCGGTCTGGCCAAACTAAGCTATCAGGGGAGAAGAGGTAAGCCTTAGTGAGAGAGGTAAAGAAGAACCCAAAGATCACTGTGATTGAGCTCCAGAGATGCAGTCAGGATAAAGGATTAAATTGTAGAAAGTCAATCATATCTACAGCCCTCCACCTGTCGGGGCTTTAAGGCAGAGTGGCCTGACACATAAAGGCCCACATGGAGTTTGCTAAAAAAAAAAAAAAAAAAAAACACCTGAAGGACTCTAAGGGTGCTTTCACACCTGCCGTATTTAGTATGATTGAATCGCACAAGAGTTCGTTTTACCTTTTGGTGTGGTTTGTTTGGGCAGGTGAGAATGCAGCAATCGTACTCGAGTGCGCAGCAAAAGCTGACCAAATAAGCGTACCAAGACCTGCTTGAAGAGGTGGTCTCGGTACGCTTTCAAACGAACCCTGGAGCGGTGTAACGAGGAGACTGACATGGAGGGATCTATTTTGCAGTATTTATTAGACAGTTCAAACACAAAAATCCAACACGCACTAAAGTGTAATCAACAGCATTCAATATAGATCGGGGGGCTGGCAGCTGACAGACACAGAGTGATTTACCAGGCATGGATCAGAGGCAGGCGGCGTGGTTCAGAGTCCGAATAACAAGCGTGGGTCGAGGGCAGGCAGCGTGGTTCAGAGTCCGAATAACAAGCGTGGGTCGTGGGCAGGCAGTGTGGTTCAGAGTTCGTATAACAAGCGTGGGTCGAGGGCAGGCAGAAGGCAACACAGAGTCAGAAACAGTCCGGGGTAATGCACAGAAGATCAGGCAGGGAATAACGCTCAGAAATGTTTGCCGTGGCTGAACAAGACTTCGCAATGAACTGGTGTTTGAGTGTGGCTTATATAGGGAGCGTGGGTCGTTAACTGAATTCAGATCAGGTGTGTGCACAATCAGTCTAGGTGGATGATGTATTGCTTAGAAGTCCAGGGATGGCGGCCTCTGCTGGCCAGCGAGGGGAATGACTGGGACCGAGTCGGTGACAAGCAGTTCGTTAGTGGTGAGAATATGATTCGTACTAAAACAGGTCCAACCTGCCCAGGTCCAACCTGTTTTCCAGCCGCAGCCGCGCTTCATTCTCATAATGTATAGTTTGTCTAAAGCAGGCATACAATCAGTCAGCGCAGTCGCCCCTCCAGAGTAAAAACGACATTTTGTATCTGTCGGTTGGTGTTGGGTGTTTTTCAGCTATAAGGACAGGACGATAATCGAGGGAAAGATGAATGTGCAAGTACAGGGATATCCTGGATGAAAACCTTCTCTAGAGTGCTCAGGACCTCAGACTGGGTCAAAGGTTTACCTTCCAAGACAAAAACGCTAAGCACAGCTAAAATAATGAAAAAATGGCTTTACAAGAACTCTTTGACTGTTCTTGAATGGCCTAGCCAGAGCCCTGACTTAAAACCCAATTGAGCATCTCTGGAGAGACCTAAAAATGGCTGTCTACCAATGTTTACTATCCAACCCGACAGAACTGGAGAGGATCTGCATGCAGGGGATCCCCAAATCCAGGTGTGAAAAACTTGTTGCATCTTTCCCAAAAAGACTCAAGGCTGTATTAGATCAAAAGGGCCAAACATATATATATATATATATATATATGTATGTATATATATATGTATGTATATATATATATGTATGTATATATATATATATATATATATATATATATATATATATATATATATATATATATATATATATATGTATATATATATATATAAATATATATATATATATATATATATATATATATACATACATCCATACATACATACATACATACATACATACATACATACAGGTAAGTGTGCTTGACATACCACATGTGGAAAAACACTCTTTTATCTCTCTGAACATATAATCAGTTTATAATTTTGAGTTACGTAATATTTTTACCTATTTCTACAAATAAACCTGTACAAATTAAGTTTTGATGTCCAGGGTCAGATAAATAACTACAATTTCATCCAGTTCATACATTATCACTGTCATAAGGCTGTCACTTGGCCAGTATTCTTTATCAGATACACCACAGTATTTTGTTTACCAGAGTGCATACTAACAAAAAGGTGGATATTAATATCTAAATTGACTAAAATAATGAACTTTTAACAAAAGCTTTACATTGACGCATCATTTATACATATTCTTTGTTGTTTCACACAAAATGCAGATCAAAGCATATTTCTTGCACACTAGAAAATTTTAAAGCTGCACAATAATATACTATTTACTGCAGAAAAGTGTATATTAGCATGCTATACTAAGCCATTATGGTTTTCATATTGCATATATTATTTGTCAACGGTTAGTATACAAGCAGAGAGATGGACCCATACCAGTACTAAAAGCCGCAAAACTCCACATTTGATTTAATTTGAAAGTAACCAAGAGAGATGTAGACATCATTAAAGCATTGATTTTTTTAGGTGAACGAAAACTGGGTAGCGAAATTGCAATTGATGTTTACATTTGTGAGACGGTAAGAAAACTTCTGAAAGGGTAGTTAGATCAAAAATGTCTCATTTTCATTAACAACTTGGAGTCGATACAAACTAAAGAGAAAATGCTCCAGGCAAGAAGGGAATTATGTTTGACTAGACCAGTGTTTCTCAATCCTGGCCCTCCCTATCTTAAATACCTCTTTTGCACAATGTCATTTCTGATTTATGTAAAGTTGAATAATCTGTCTTAGACTATAATTATGAAAAAAAAAAACATTCAATACCATACAATCATTCTTTTGTTCATTTTCCTTCGGCTTAGTCCCTTAATTATCAGGGGTCGCCACAGTGGAATGAACCACCAACAATTCCAGCATATGTTTTACGCACTGGATGCCCTTACAGTCGCAACCCAGTATTGGGAAACACCCATACACTCTCGCATTCACATACACACTCATGAACTACAACCAGTTTAGTTCATCCAATTCACCTATAAAGCATGTCTTTGGACTGTGGAGGAAACCGGAGCACTTAGAGGAACCCACACCAACACGGGGAGAACATGCAAACTCCACACAGAAATGCCAGCCGGGGTTCAAACCTGCAAACTTCTTGCTGTGAGGCAACAGTGCCCACCACTGAGCCACCATTCTGTCTGTGTGAATTTATATTGTATTTCTTTACAGAGTTCAGACACATTTTTCTAGCAACAGTCTGCAGGAAATTATGTGTTGTAAATCTGTGAACAAATGGTACAAAGGGAAATAATGGTTTCTTGTACTCCGAGTGCAATGAAGGAGAATGAACTAGGGAGAATGAAATGTGGTGTTTTTGAGACTCTTCTTTCAGTATGTAATGTAATGTAATGTAATGTGTATTTATATATCACATTTATTGTGTATGGCCTACAGCCAAAGCGCTTCACAACCATTGGAGGTCTCTCCACACCACTACCAGTGAGCCGCATCCACGTGGATGATGTGACGGCAGCCACAGGACAACAGCGTCAGTGCGCTCACCACACACCAGCTACAGTGATAGAGCCAATTCAGTGGATGGGGGGGGATCGGGAGGAGATGATGGGTAAGGGCTGATGGAGGGCATTTGGCCAGGACACCGGGGTTACAAACCCTACTCTTTACAAGTGCCATGGGATTTTTAATGACCACAGAGAGTCAGGACCTCGGTTTATCATATTATCCGAAAAAAGGTGCTCGCTGACAGTATAGTTTCCCCTTTACTATACTGGGGCATTAGGACTCACACAGACCACAGGTTGAGCGCCCCCTGCTGGCCTCACTAACACCACTTCCTACAACAGCAACCTAGTTTTCCCATGTAGTCTCCCATCCAGGTACTGACCAGGCTCAGCCCTGCTTGCCTTCAGTGAGTAACTGGTCTCGGGCTGCAAGGTTGATATATCTCCAACTGAAGCTGAATATTAAGTAGGGGGCAGAGCTTTTTTTTGCGCATCATTTCTTCATAACAAATTAACAGTATAAGTGGGGGTATAAATGCGCAGTTGCTATGGAAACTCTCAGGTTGATATCAATCAATCATCAATTAATCATTTTGTTGTCAGCTTAGTCCCTTTATTAATCCGGGGTCGCCACAGCGGAATGAACCGCCAACTTATCCAGCAAGATTTTACACAGCGGATGCCCTTCCAGCCGCAACCCATCTCTGGGAAAAGGTTGACATCAACATAAGGTAAAGATTACCAAAACAAACAATTATTTTTAGTGGATTAACTGAATGGGTTAATTATTCACCTTCCATATAACAATATGAGCTAGCAAAATAAACAATGTGAATTTTGATTTCACATGGACTTTAAAAGGGGTAAAAATCACTAAAAGGGATTGTCATGTTACCCTCCTCTTTCAGTTCAAATCTATCTCAGAATTTTTCCAAAAAAATGCTCCTAGATGGGCGTGTAGCTCTGCGAGCAGAGGGAGGAGAGGGCGTGGCCAGCAAAGCAGGGGAAAAAGAGGGGAGCGAACATTTGTTGTCAGTCTGCTCACAAGATGAGACACAAACAGCAGGGAAACGCATGATTTTATAGTTTACAAAAGTAAAATGCAAAGAAATAAACAGTAATGTAATGCCCTGCTACATATGTTATTCGTAAATTCATATTAACATAACCACAATTTGTCATATCATTATAGACAATCATGTAAACACTATAAATGAAGTGAATGAAATTAAATTAAACACTATTCTCTCCTTCTCAATCCCCAGGTCTGAATGCAGACACACTGGATAGCAGTGCAGCAGGTCTCTTTGCCTATCTATTACAACCATTAGCCCTGCCGGTAATCTGGAGGATTTTAAAAATAGGCGAACACAGCACCACAGGTATAGGCGATGTGTCTGAATGGTAGCGAACTCAACTGATAAAAGACAAAGTACGGCATTTTCCAATTCTCGTACAGCTGTCTGGACAAAAATGCTTGCTGCAAACCAACAGCTTTGCTGTATCGGCCCTGACGTATTGCTGGGTAACACATGCAACAAACCGAGTAAGTCATGGAAAAAAACACATAACTTTACGACCTTTCATAAACGGTTAAATACTGCTTGCTGTTCGTGGACGTGGTCTCAGCTTGGCAGGTCTGCCTTGCCTTTAAAAGCACATGCTGTCATGAATAATTAAGAAGAAGGGTCTTCTCATAGGATAAGAAAACTCTGCTATGAATAATAATGAGAAACTGATGCGTCATCACTCCACTAGCAGTTGCGCTCTATGTTGCCGATTTTGATCCCACCTCAAAAATAATTTTAAACCTGAAAGATAAAATTGTCTGATAAAGGCTCAAAATTATTCAGTTTTCCTCTAAATTAAAGGTAACAGTTGCAAATGTTGTCTTAACTGATGCAGAATACATCTGTAAAATTTTCAAAAAAGTATTCCAGGGTGTCCTAAACCTTTAAACCGTCTTGTGGCTTACAGTGTTTGAATATAAACAGCTTCTAATGGTAAAAAAATTATATAAAAAATTAAAATCACACTTCAAAAAAAACCTGCAGAAACACTTAGATTGACATGCTCCCTTTGTATGTGTCATCAATGGGGGAAAGCCCCGCCCATTAGTGACCATCTCTCCCTCATTAGCATAGCACATTAGTCTTGTTTTGAATCTGCCACTATGCTGACACACAGGCATTTGTAGCTCCGCCCTCTTTTAAAAAGAGCACAATCTCATTTTAATTTAAAGCGACAGTCACCAAAATGGCACAATCAGGATTAAAGCTTAAAAAGGTCCATTTCAAAGAGTAATAAAACATTATTTGTGTTGTATTTTGAGCTGAAAGTTTACATACTTTCACCTCAAAATCTTTTGAGACTTTTTTTTTTTTACATCTTAAACAAAATGGCATGATAGGTCATGATAATATAAGAGAGACATGCAGATCGGTGGGGCACAAGGAACGAGATTGAGAAACGCTGGCCTATAGACTAACCTCTACACTTTTAATTCCTCTCATAAAGCGAAAAAGAAATGCTATCTCCTCGCTTTCTCCATCCTAAACGTCTGTCATTCAATAAATCAAGACCACCACAAGCAAATATGGTTTCCAGTTTCTTGGCTATATAGCACTTAAAAGCGCATTAAGGTTTGGTATCTCCATATACCCAAGGGTACCGCAGGGACAAGCACCAATTTGCAGCATTTCATCTGAAGTGTCAAATATCAGAAGGCTTGTTTATCTGAAATGACTGATGGGTTTCATTACTCCAATCTGTTGGTCATGGGCATTGGGTATGAGATCGTCCGGGGGCATAAAGAAGTGCCGTACAGATCTGACCCTGCTGTATGACTGCACACCCACATGTCTCTGTGACAAATCACCTGTACATCTGTCCATCGGGACAGCCTAAAAACTCATTCTGTGCAACACAGAAAACTGTAAAAAGTTTTCAGAACCAGAAACCGAATGAGCTTTATTCACCAAGACAAACTGGAAAAAACACAAACACACAAGTTATTTTTGTGCTTTACAGAGCTCAGGATACACACACAACTGAACACATTTATTTTCATTAACCTCAAAGGGACAGTTCATGCAAATCTTAAAATTCTGTCATCAATGACTCACCTTTTACTTGTTTCAAACATATTTTCCATTCTTCTATTAAACACAAAATAAGATATTTGAACATAGCTGAAATCCTGTAACCACTGGCTTTCATAGTATATTCTTTTCCCTACTAATTCAATGGATACAGGTTTTCCGCTGTCTTCAAGTTATCTTATTTAGTGTTCAAGAGAATAAAGAAACTCATAAAGGTTTATAACCACTTGACAAATAGTTAACACTAAACAGTGAGCAAATTTTTGTTTTTGGGTGAACTATCCTTTTAAAAAACGAATAAATACTGTAATAAAATGTACTGTTAGTTATTTCTTATGACAATAAAAATTGTTCTTAAAGAGATAATAATAATAATCCAGTGTTTATCTAAATATGTGAAATTCTGTCATCATTTGCTCATCCTTTACTTTGTTTCAAACCTTTCAAAAGCTTCAACACTAAGTTTCTTGCTTTTGATGAAAACAAAAGTAGATATTTAGAAAAATGTTGAAAACCTGTAACTATTGACTTCTATAGTGTTTGTTTATCCTTGTATGTCAAACATCACAGGGTTCTAACACTCAAAATAACTTCTTCAGTGTTCAACACACACACACACACACACACACACACACACACACACACACACACACACACACACACGTTTGTTTTTGTAAAAAGTGGGGACATTACATAGGATTCCATTCACTTTATACAGTCCCCAACCATCACAGGAACTGTGTGCAGCTTTACTCTCTGATTAAACTCATCCTGTGGGATTTATAAGCATTTTGAGAAGTGAGGACATCACCAATGTCCTCATATTTCACCTCCTTTTTGTAATACCTGTGTCATACCCATGTCATTATACAGATTTGTGTCCTGATATGTGACAAAAACACGTACACACATACACACAAATCATAATGGTTTTGAATCACTTGAGGGGCAAGTACATTTCAATTTTGGGTGAACTATTCCTTTAAGATGTTAAACACTGCCTGTACTATTTTGCGTGTCCAAACTGTGTGAATAGATCACCATCATTAAAAAATACACCTTAAAGATATAGTCCTCTAAACTAATAAAAAAATCTGCCATCATTTACTCACTTTATGAATTTCTTGCTTTTAATAAACGCAAAAGAAGATATTTTGAAAAATGTCGAAAATCTGTAACCATTGACTTCCATAGTATTTGTTTCTGCTATATGGATGTCAGGTTACAGGTTTCTAACATTCTTCCAAATATCTTCTTCTGTGTTTAAGTAAAGGAAGGACACATAATGGTTTGAAACCACTTAAGGGCGAGTACTTTTTCATTTTTAAGGTTTAACTATTAAACCGCTGACTGTACTTTTTTGCACTAAGTGTGTCCAATCTGTATGAATAAATCAACACCACAAAATTTGACTTAAAAGAGATAATTCACTTAAAAATGAGAAGCTGTCATCGTTTACTCACTCTTTACCTTTTTCAAACCTTTCTGATTTTCTTACTTTTGATGAACACAAAAGAAGATATTTTGAAAAATGTTGGAAACTTGTAACCATTGGCTTTCATAGTATGTGTTTTTCCTTTGTCACTGGTTACAGGTTTTTATCATTCTTCCAAATATCTTCTTTAGTGTTCAAGAGAAGAATCTGATAATGGTTTGGAACTTGAGGGCAAGTAAATTTTAAATTTCGGGTAAGCCTTTATTTGTTTCAAACCTTCCTGAGTTTTAAAGATATTTTAAACAATGTTGAAAACTTGTAACCATTGGTTTCCATAGTATTCATTTTTATGTTATTTGTTACAGGTTTCCAACATTCTTCAGAATATCTTATTTTTTGTTCAACAGAAGAAACTCAAAGGTTTAAAACCACTTGAGTAAATAGTATATTGTGTGAACTGACCCTGTAATGTCAACAAAAGAAGAGCGCTAATGAAAAAGACACTCACCTGACTTGCGTGCCCCAGACTTTCTAGCACAAAGAGCGATGCCACACATCCACACCAATGCAAAAACCACCACGACACCTGTCCGGAGGAGCATTTTTACTGATTGAGAAATATTGATGGCGTCAATCGAAGTTTCAAATGCTATCACTCCTCATCCTTACTCCAAAAAACAAAGTCTTTAAAACAAATAAAGCTTTTTTTTACGATCTGGACTGTATGCAGGTCGGTGTTCGCGGTGAAGCCGGTCTGATGCGATTACAGTGTCTTGAAAAGCGCACACACATCCACTCACACCCCACTAAACACGCGGTCAACTAAACTTCTGCATCCAAAAGCGTCAATGAAAAAAGAGCCGATCCGCCACAGACGTCAAGTTTCTTCTTATTTACGTTTTTTTAATGTTTTTTTTTATTATTGCAAGGAGCTGAAGCAGAGACTGCAGGACACTCGGAGTTAAGAGGATAATGGTCTAATCTACACAGATGGAGACTTGAGCTCGCTTCAGTAACTCTGACCAATATAGCAACAACGGAGACTGGTCGATAAAATACTACAGCACTGGCTTGAAGCATAATTGGGTGGAGGGTTGGAGAGGTCGAGGTGTTTTCTTTTACCCGTTTTCTGATGACTATTTGACATAGGCTACGTGTAATACGTTAATACAAATAAGATCACTGAAAAAATGAACATTCTGTCATAATTTTGCTCGTCGTCCTCGTGTCAGGTTGTTGAATGCTTGAATCTGATTGGCTGGTGGACGTAGATTACACTGTAAAATATCTGTAAATTAGCAGTTTTCCGTATTTTATTATTTATGTTTTTGTTTTTTTTTGTTTTCTTTATTTATGCTTTTGTATTGCATTATGGAACCGGCATTTTAATCTTGAAATGTTTAAAAAAGTGACTTATATTGACATTTTTAATAGTTAGTTTAAAATTATGTATTGTCTGGGTTGGTGTATAGTACAGTATACAAACCTTAATAAACTGCCAGTACAGCTTTGTTATTTTACAGACTTATTTCACTATAAATAGGCTAATTATTATTTTTATGCGTTATATTATTTCAAACAACTATGAATGTCAATAATAGTCACTTTAATAAACTGTAGAGTTGAATTTTCAGCATCAAAAGTCGACAGAGCACAGATCAACATCCTATAATGCAACCATAAATAAACGGAAAACACTTTTCAATGACAAAATAAGGGAATTGTTAATCAGATGTATTTTACAGTGTAAAGCTACAGTATTTCCAGACAGGTTTGACTACATTCACAATCTTATATATGGATATATGCAAATGAAGTATATGAAATTCAAGTTTATGTATATGAAATGTCATATATGCAAGATGTATTTCTTAATTTTGCAAAAATGGGTGGTTACATATTTTCTTCGAACCATTGGAATTGCAAATACGTACGTTATTATGCTATTACAAAATCAGAAAAGTTAAGGTGTTTTCTATAGGTGGAGAGTATATAAAAAGTCAGCAAGCAGTTATGCAATATATTGTATAGTGTCCATTAAAAAAGTCTGTGTGTGTAATACTATTTCAATGTATTTGTGTATCGATTAAGTGTTTGTGTTGTATTTATGTTCATGTACAACCAGAACACATATTAATATACAGCATTTATACTACTAACATATACCAATGGCTGAAAAACACAGTTAAAGTCAGAATTATTAGCCCCCTTGTTTATATTTTTCCCCTGATTTTAACACATTTCTAATAGTGTTGATAAATCATTTTTAATAACTGATTTATTTTATCTTTTGATAACAGTGAATAATATTTGACTAAAAATGTTTCAAGACACTTCTATACAGCTTAAAGTGACATTTAAAGGCTTAACTAGTTAGTTTAACTACACAGGTTATGGTAATTAGGCAAGTTATTGTATAATGATGGTTTGTTCTGTAGACTATCAAAAAATATATATATCTTAAAGCGGCTAATAATTTTGTTCTTAAAATGGTGTTTAAAAAATTCAAAACTGCTTTTATTCTAGCCGAAATAAAACAAATAACACTTTCTCCGGAAAAATAAATATTATTATACATACTGTGAAAAGTTCCTTGCTCTGTTAAACATTATTTGGGAAATATAAAAAAAAAAGAAAAAAATTTCATAGGGGAGCTAATAAAGATGAGTGGCATTATCTCTTCAAATCCACGTTCAAAGTTCAAATATAATCAATGAACTTAAATATATTTGCACGTATTTATGAGGTCTATTTGTAATTACAGATCCATAAGTCCATATATGCTGAATGATTTCACAGCCACAAAAGTCATGAAAGTCATGAATTACACCAAAACAAAACAGAAGGCTTTGAATGAAATGTAAGAAACTAGTCTATAACACAGGAGCAGTTGGAGGACAAAAAATTGACAAATGTCTTGTAGCATCATATCTAAACAAGGCCTTAAGGTGTGGGAACTATAATTGGAATAATTGAATTGTCTGTTAAATTATTAGAAAATAAAGCACACCTGACACTTCGCATATGCAATATTTGTCCTAATAATGAGATTTGTTCTTGCCATGTCAAATGGCACGACAGAGTTTTACAAGAACCAGTGAGGTTTGTTCTTGCTTGTGGGCATTTTACCTTTTGTTGACTGAACAAAAAACATATTGATTTGTGAGGGGACAAAAATAAATTGATAATCAAATGGTGACAATCACATTAAAAGACTTATATTAAAGTACATTTTTGGATTTGGCTGTTTTTTATTAAAAACATTTTGAGGCATCCGACGTTTGGGTGCATTCAGGGACAGAAATCACTCAGATTTATTTACAAAGTATCTTCCGTTATGTTCTGAAGTTAAAAGAAAATCTTATGGGTTTAAATTTACAAAGGGGTAAGTAAACAATCATTTTAATCTGTCCAATTTATTTGACAGACAGACAGACAGACAGACAGAAAGACAGACAGACAGACAGACAGACAGACAGACAGACAGAAAGACAGACAGACAGACAGACAGACAGACAGAAAGACAGACAGACAGACAGACAGACAGACAGACAGACAGACAGAAAGACAGACAGACAGACAGACAGACAGACAGACAGAAAGACAGACAGACAGACAGACAGACAGACAGACAGACAGAAAGACAGACAGACAGACAGACAGACAGACAGACAGACAGACAGACAGACAGACAGACAGACAGACAGACAGATAGATAGATAGATAGATAGATAGATAGATAGATAGATAGATAGATAGATATTTCCTCACTTTTTCCTACTGTTGTCCTCTCCATGTCTCATCTTCTCCGTTCTCCTTGAGGATATGAAGAATCTCCAGCTCTATTCTGCCGGAAATTGAGGAATTCATAAGCTGTCAGATTCAAAGCAATCATTTCTTTCATTACATTGAATGTTTACATCAAATACAATCGTCACTGCATTTTGTGCCTTGTTTTCCCTAGTGATCAAAAGGATCATCTGAATTAAGTTGGATGGTTAACCGCTTTAATTAGTGGCAACGTTCAGTGTAATTACTGGGACTTCAATTTATAGCAGTTTGGAATAAAATGAGATACAAATTCCAGTTTATCAAAACAAAATCAAGATCAGTCCTTACACACACACACACAGGTGTGTGTGTGTGTGTGTGTGTGTGGTGTGTGTGTGTGTGTGTGTGTGTGTGTGTGTGTGTGTGTGTGTGTGTGTTATGACTGATCTTTATTTTGTTTTGATAAACTGGAATTTGTATCTCATTTTATTCCAAACTGCTATAAATTGAAGTCCCAGTAATTACACTGAACGTTGCCACTAATTAAAGCATTTATTATATACATTATACATTATATACATTTATTTTTATAAATGTATATAAAGCATGAACTATTTCATAATATTATATTATATTTTATATTAGATTTTATGTTATATTATATATAAAGTTGCAGCATATGGTGAAATTGGTAAAGTTCTTACAGCGCTATCTAGCGGTTCAAACTGGTGATAACCATAAGTACTCACTTTAAATAGTTGGGTTAAAAAAAATCAAATAGTAATATAAAGTATTGAACACGTCAACATTATAAATGTGCTGTTGACTAAACATTTTCCCTGGGATGTTGGTAACAACCAAAGAAATCCAAATATGCAAAGAAAACAGAATGAATTAATTTACAAGTGAAGTTATGTGTAATAGAATGAAATGACACAGGGGAAAAGTATTAAACACATGAAGAAAGTGAGGTGTAGAAAGGCAGTGTAAGCCCAGACAGCAGCTGAAATCTCTCAGTAGTTCTTCAGCAAGTATTTCTCAAGATTAGATTCAACTTTATTGTCATTACACATGTACACAACTACAATGCAGCGAAATGCAGTTTAGGTCTAACAAGCAGTGCAATAGCAGCAAGTGCAGGATACAGGTATAAGTTATCAAGTGCAGTTATAGAAAAACTATGGTGATATTTACAGATGGATGTACTATCAATATTATATACTGGTTGTATTAGCTATGAACAGAGATTTATAACAAATTAATATATGAATATATGTACAATAAATTAATTGTTAAATTAAATTAAACATTATTACAAATGTATATGGTGAGGCAGTGGTGCAGTAGGTAGTGCTGTCGCCTCGCAGCAAGAAGGTCGCTGGTTCGAACCTCGGCTCAGTTGGCATTTCTGTGTGGACTTTGCATGTTCTCCCTGCCTTCGCGTGGGTTTCCTCCGGGTGCTCCGGTTTCCCCCACAGTCCAAAGACATGCGGTACAGGTGAATAGGGTAGGTTAAATTGTACGTAGTGTATGAGTGTGTGTGTGTGAATGTGTGTGTGGATGTTTCCCAGAGATGGGTTGCAGCTGGAAGGGCAACCGCTGCATAAAAACTTGCTGGATCAGTTGGCGGTTCATTCCGCTGTTGCGACCCCGGATTAATAAAGGGACTAAGCCGATAAGAAAATGAATAAATTAATAAATGACAAATGTATATGTGCAGTGGATGTGTACAGTTTAAATAAGTAAATCAGTGTAATGTGGTGCATTGAATATGTGCAAATGTTAAACAGTGCAGTGATTGTGAGAAGTATAAGTTAGAGGAGAGTGGGGGGTGTAGAGGGGGGGCAAAAGAGTCAGTGAGGGGCAGAGTTCAAGAGGGAGACAGCTCTGGGGAAAAAGCCGGGGGAGTCCGGGGAAGCCTGAAGCGTCTGAAGGAAGGCAGGAGAGAAAACAGTCTGTGTGCAGGGTGAGAGGTGTCCTTAAGAATGCTGCATGCTCAGAGCAGACAGTGTTTTCTCTGGATGTCCTCTATGGCTGGCAGTGTGGTCCCTGTGATGTGTTGGGCAGTTTTCACCACCCGCTGCAGTGCCTTACGCTCAGCAACAGAGCAGCTTCCATACCAGACTGTGCCGCAGTTGGTCAGGATGCTCTCTATTGTGCAGCGGTAGAAGTTCAACAAGACGGCTGATGAAAGCTGGTTCTTCTTAAGTTGCCTTAAGAAAAATAGGCGCTGGGGAGCCTTCCTGACCAGGCTGGAGGTGTTGGTGGTCCAGGAAAGGTCCTTTGAGATGTGGGTCCCCAGAAACTTGAAGGATGAGACAGGCTCAATGGCCATCCCATTGATGTGGATGGGATCATGTGAGCCTGTTTGTCCCTTCCCGAAGTCCACGATGAGCTCCTTAGTCTTGTTGGTGTTAAGGAGCAGATTAATGTCTGTGCACCAAGTGGCCAGATGCTGTATCTCCTCCCTGTTGGCAGTCTCATCATCATTCTCAAGAGCTAATACTGCAATTTTATGACGTTTAAAGTGATGTTTAAACATATTTAACAGTATTTAAATAATTTTGTCAACATTTTCATATTTAAAAAAACTAAATATTGTGAATGAAAGATGTAATTGCTACAGGGGAGTAGATTTAGGGTGGACGGTGGGGACATGTCCCCACCAATATCCACAAAGTACTGAAATGTCCCCACCAATAATTTAATTCACTTAAAAACATTGTGCTGTCAGTATAAGCCGTATAAACCTAGACACGCTGAAGGGGTTAAATCACGTTCTCTCCTCAAGTCGCACCGCCCCACAGACACATATGAACATTGTGATTGGCTGTGCCTTTCTCTGCTATCATGTGAGAGGCTCCTTTCAGATACAGCAGCGCCAAAACTACTGCGCGGGGGGAATTTCCCGATGTGTGTGAGGTGTCTGACAAGCACAAGGATGAAGGTAGTAAAAAAAGGTGGACATAAAGAGCTTTTTTCAACGAAAAGTCACATTTAACTCAAGTTCGCTACTGAATGAGTCCATATTGCGAGTGTTTTTCACCGCTGTTGCGGTCAGTCTAACGTTATAGCAGACTGATATAGTCTGTGAACAATATTCCCTGTAATAACTGCAGAATAAACACATGTAAATGTATATGATCCTGCCAGTTCTCCTTATCTCTTAGAGTAACATCACCAATTTCGATTGAAACATTTTGTCAGAAAAACTACAGCCTGTGCTCCATCTTTTAATAATACTTTGATACATGTTTCATTTGTACAAAAAAATAAAATAAAAAATCTTTATGAAACTCTCTCCTTATCAATTAATAAACATTATTTTAACATTACACTTTTGGGCCTGTAGCCAGCTTTTTGAAAGAAGGGTTTTTTTCTGAAAAACTGAACCTTTTTGCAATTATTCACCTGATTAATTATTCATTCTGTTTATTTGAGGTATAAATATTAAATTTGATTGACATTAAGAACTAATTTTTGCTGGGTTATCTTTTTGGATAGTTATTATAACTACACTTTTTGATGTACCAAAAATATTTCCTACCATTTTGTCAAATTGCTTTATTTTTATTACAGTTTTATAAATAATAAAAAAAATACATTGAATTAGAAAATAGAACTTTAAATTCTTAGAAAAAAGAAATCAAGAGTTCAGATGCCCAAACCTCTAAATGCCATGTAAAATGGGCATTTTCCTCAGCCTTGTATAGTTATGTTCAGTTATTTCACTTTAACGGCAATAAAAAGAATGTATTAGTCACTATAAAAGTAAAATCACTGAATCCACACACAGGAGTTGGAGAAAAATGCTCATTTTAGAAGAAAATATTGAACGGCATTTAGAGGTTTTTGCATCTAAACTATTCAAATATGAAAAATAGACTTATTTTTAAAATACAATTGTTTTAAATCATATTTTTTTGGGGGAAATTTGTTTTAAAATCAAGTTTTAACTGATTTCTCAAAGAAAATTAGCATTTAAAGTATTAGTATTAAATAGTCTAAAACTGAAGCCTTTAGGCAAATAAAAAACGGTAACACTTTACAATAAGGTTCATTAGTTAATGCATTTACTAACATGAACTAATCATGAACAACACATGTACAACATTTATTAATCATAATTAAACATTTACTAATGCATTATTAACATTCAAGTCCATGCTTGTTAACATTAGTTAATGCACCATGAGTTAACATGAACTAACAATGAACAACTATATTTTCTTTAACTAACGTTAACTAACATGAACAAATACTGTAGTAAATGTATTGTTCATTGTTTGTTCCTGTTAGTAAATGCATTAATTAACATTAACTAATGAACCTTATTGTAAAGTGTGACCTAAAAAACTGACCAGTGCATTCAACCTTTCTCAGTCAGAATTTGGCCATTTGAATAATAAAATAAATTCAAACATAATAATAATCAATATTCAAAAATAATAATAATAATCCAACTTTTGGTCTTTCAAACCACCTGAATCCCCTTGGCTACGCGCCTGACTATTTAATTTAACTTAATAAATTGTATGAAGAGAGGACTAATTGATAATATATTTTAATAGCAGTTAAATAATTTTTAGCAATATATAATACATATTAAAAAAACAATATTCATTCTTGGCGGGGGTGTGGGGGGACTCGTCCCCAGTCCCCACCAATGTCAAGTGCAAACCTACGCCCTTGAATTGCTATTCCAAACAAAATAATTCACACTTCTCAGCAAAAAAAAAGAAGCCCTGCACTTTACACTACTGTCCAGCAGAGGGGGTGTTAGTCCTTTAAATAAGCGCTGATCTTAGGATGGAAAGCCAGTTATCAACAGGTTACGGACACTATAATGAAGACTTGATAAATGTGGTGGCGAACATCTATAAATAACAGCAGCTTCATTTATAGTTACTTCCTCGTGGATACAGATATTGTTTGACAGAAAGTAGTAACCTGATATATTATAAAATAAACAATAAAGTGATTACTGATAAGTACAAAGTAAATGATAATAAACATTCATTATTTGTGTGCGTAGTAAAAACGTTCTTCCGTTAAATTACGTCGTATATTTCGGTTGTTAGATAAAAATACGGTTGCAGCCAGAAGTTAACAAGAATTATTCATATGATTGATTAAATTTCCTATTTGTTGTATCTTAGTAACGTCTAAGTTACCCCTTACGGCAACCGTCACAGTAATATAAAAAACATAGCTGTAGTACTATTTGTTATTAAATTACCCAATAAATTGCATTTTAACACCTACACCAAGCCTAACCGTCACAGTAAGTTACCGTTAAAATATGAATTACTCTTATACATTGTTACAAAAATTGTATCCGCAGCTGTATCCTATTTAGACTTTACCTATGTCCCAGAACGAGCATACTCTTTTGCTTCACTCTCCAAAACAAAAGAAGTAACGTTACATACTTTAGGACTTCGAAGCAGGCCTTTTTAAACAGTTTAGTTCGTGTTTTAAACAGCATCCAGGTAATTGTTTGGTTCTTTTCACGATGCCGCGCATGTTTAACAGCTCGCGCGCACGTCACGTCACATCACAGCTGAGGCGGGAATGAGCGGGACTCTCACTGTACCTGACGAATTAATAAACCAAATTATTAACCTTAATTTAATAATATGACCATAGACGTGTGTATTCAGCAACGATGACGCCTTCTGGATGACAAATCTGTGCTTTAAACACGCCGTCATGAAGACAGTTGTGTAGTTTTCGGTGAGCGCGGATCTCTGCCAGCAGGAGAATATGAGAGTCAGGTGAAAGGAAATACAATATGCGAGGTTTTTATGTTTATAAATGTTTTCTTTTTTCTTTTCTGAAAGCATCTTAAGCTTTGTCATCATCAGTGCTGATGGCCGGACACAAACAGCTAATTTCAGGTAGTGTCAAACATATTTTGTATTGATTATTCCTATATTTCTGTTAGTATGTATGAGGGCAAGTTGCGTTTCTTTTTTAACTTTTTAATTATATAACTGTTACTGCTACCTACAGCTGAATATACACTTTAAATCGCTTTGCGTGACATTATGATAACATAATATGATGCACATTGGGTTAAATTAAACACAAATAAAGCTAAATTAAGCTATATTGTTGATATTTTATTATTATTATTATTATTATTGGATTGAATTACTTAAAATACATATGGATAAAATCATTATTACTTCATTATTACGAATAGGCTATAAGTGGTGTGTTGTTTAAATTGCTTTAAGAAAATCATCATATTATTTTTATTAAATGTTTATTATTGTTGTTAGCTTTGTACTATAGGCTATCATTAAAATGTTTATTAAGCTGAGTATTATATTATTTGTATTACATATATCTAGTTTAAATGTTTCTACATAGTTTGATCGCTGGACAATAATATATTAAGTTAAATTTATTATAAATAAATATAAATAATCATCATCATTATCATCATCACAAATAATAGATTTGATGACAATTATTTTATGGATTTTTATTATTATAATACAACATTAAGCCAATTATTTAATCATTATAATTATAATAATTTCAGTTGTTTTACAACTACACATAATAAAAATAATAATATATTTAGTTATGCATTTACTATTATTATTATTATCGTCATTATCATGACAAATGTAATGGTTCTGAGACGATTATTTCATGGATTTTTATTATTATTATACAACATTAAGCCAATTATTTAATCATTATAATTATAATAATTTCAGTTGTTTTACAACTAAACATAATAATAATAATAATATATTAAGTATGTATTTTTATTATTATTATTATTATTATCGTCATTATCATGACAAATGTAATGGTTCTGAGACAATTATTTTATGGATTTTTATTATTATGCAACATTAAGACAATTATTTAATCATTATAAGCCTAATAATTTTAATAAACTCAGTTGTTTTACTACTAAACATAATAAATATAATAATAATAATAATAATAATAATAATAATATTAATAATAATATGTTAAGTTAAATATGTATTATTATTATTATTATTATTATTATTGTCAATATAATAACAAATGTAATGGCTTTGATGACAATTATTGTATGGCTAAATAATAACCTACAGCTAAATATACACTTTAAATCATTTTGGGTGACATTATGATAACATAATACGATGTACAGTGGGTCAAATTAAACAAAGTTGAATTTAGCTATATTGTTGAAATTTTATTATTATTATTATTATTATTGGATTGAATTACTTAAAAATACCTGAGGCTAAAATGTGTTATTATTTTTATTATTACAAATATAAGTGGTGTGTTGTTTAAATTGCTTTATCAAAATTATCATATTATTTCTATTAAATGTTTATCATTGTTGTTAGCTTCGTCCTTGTTTAATTAAGCTGAGTATTATTGTGTTATTTATAATACATATATCTACCTTAAATGTTTCTACATAGTTTGATGGCTGAACAATAATAAAGTTAACAAAAAAAGTAAAATGTATTTTAAATAAATATAAATATTAATAACAATAATCATCAGTATCACAAATGTAATGACAATAATTTTATGGATTTTTATTATTAGTATGCAACATACTTTTAATAACAAGCCAATTATTTAATATACAATTATTTATAAAAATAATAATTGTAATAATTTCAGTTGTTTTACGACTAAACATAATAATATATATTAAGTTAAATATGTATTATTATTATTATTATTATTATTATTATTATTATTATCATCATAACAAATGTAATGATTTCGATGACAATTATTATCTAAATAATATGACTAAATAATAATAATAATTAATGTAAAGTTAATTATTACACAGTTTCAAAGATATAGTTTCAATAATTGAAACAGTTTTATGGGAAAATAATAATAATAATAATAGTAATAATACAAATAACAACAACTATCAATATTATTATTAATGCTTATTAATGCATTAACAACATTTCCACAAGTAAATAATAAAAATAATAATGATATGTAGTTAATTATTACATCGATACAAAGATAATATAGTTTCAGTAGTTAAACAGTTTTATGGCTAAATAATAATAATACAAATAACAACAACTATCAATATTATTATTAATGTTAATAACGCATTAATAACTATTTTTCCACAACAGCTTGAAGTAATTGACTGAGAAATTGGGCAAATATAAATAATAACTGCAAAAACCACAGAAGAGTCCAACATAACTCTTATCTGATTTAGTAATTCACGTAATTTAAACCCATTTTTAAGAGCCGGGCTGTCTAACAATGTCATTAACCGGATTAGTAAACGCTTAAATATAAAAACTGACCGTGATGCATGTTTGTGCTGTTGGACACAGGCTCAGTGAGCTGAGGAGTAAATCAGTAAGATGAAGGTGTGTGCTGTGATGCTGGCCTGTGCACTGATGCTGAGCTGCTTATCCTCCGTCTCAAACCCAAGCGGACACTCTCACCATTCACAACCACTGGAGCAGCGGCATCACAAACTGGACCTGCAGAGAAGACCACACAAACATCTGGAGCCAAAGAGCCACTCAGGTCAGCAGAAGCCATCCCACTCTTAGGAACACATTCAGCTAAAGTCAAACTTATTAGCCCCCCGTGTCAAATTTGAATTATTTTATAAATATTTTAGGTTGATTGTTTGTTGTTGTTTTGTTTCTCTTTTTGTCCTTTTGTTTTGTTTTAATGACATGTATCCATTTTAGGATTGTGCTGTGGTCTGAAAAATATGTATTATTTAGTTTTATTTGCCTTTCCAGAGGCTTTGGGAATATTTAGTCACCAATATTAGTACTTACACTCACGGGCCACTTTATTAGGTACACCTTACTAGCATCAGGTTGGACCCACTTTTACCTTCAGAACTGCCTTAATTTTCAGTGGCGTAGATTCATCAAGGTACTGGAAATATTCCTCAGAGATTTTGCTCCATATTGACATGATAGCATCACGCAGTTTGCACATCCATGATGTGAATCTCCCTTTCCACCACATCCCAAAGGTGCTCTATCGGATTGAGATCTGGTGACTGTGGAGGCCATTTGAGTACAGTGAACTCATTGTCATGTTCAAGAAACCAGAAGTTTTATTTTTCAGCACATTTTTAAACAAGTTTTAATAAGTAATTTCTAATTTCTTTTATCTTTGCTATGATGACAGTACATCACATTTTTCTACTTATTTTCCAAGCTTAAAGTGCATTTTAAAGGTCAATTAGGCAACTAGGCAAGTTAGGATAATTAGTCAGGTTATTGGATAACAGTGGTTTGTTCTATAGCCAATTAAAACAAGGAATTTCTTATGGGGGCTAATAATATTGACCTTAAAATACTTTGTAGAATGATTGTTTTTTTTTTTACATTACACAAACGTAAACAACAACCATCATAAACAGATGTAAAGGAAAAAAATAGAGAATATGAAACAACAAGCTGTATTCACCTTATTCTCCGTGTACGAGCGGGCGCAGCCAATTGAATCTTTTTGGCTCGAGACTTCCGGTCTCATTCACTTCCATTCATTTTTAGATGTAAAAAACAGCTCGTTCTGCTGCTTGATGTTGCAAACTGATATTTTTGATTGTATTATTCTTCTTGGTCTGTATAGTTATGAAAACACTTGTTTGTAGAGCGAGTAGTTTGACCGTTTTTTTGCAGTTTATTATTCCTAGCCATTTCTACCATAGGCAACTGAATCGGAAGTTTTTAAACCATCGCAAAAATGAGCGCACTTCCACATTGTAGAATAAGATCAATAGGTACAAACAGGGCTCGAAATTAACTTTTTTATTTGGTAGCACCGGTGCTCCCAACTTCAAAAATTTAGGAGCACCAGAAAAAATTTAGGAGCACCCACCAAAAATGATTGAGCACTGCTGCAAATTGTATTTTAAGGGACTTATTGTATTTTAAAACAACATCAATTAGGACTAACAAAAACCAGAAACAACTATCTAACTAATGCTGAGATGACATTGATATTTGTGTGCAATAATTCCAAAATGTGTATGTATTATAATTCTAGAATATTAATGATGATGAAAATGACAATAATAGTAACAATGAATTACATTTCTCATCATCATGCTGCATCATTCTCATTATCTGCTATAAAAAGTCTGTTACTTTATGAAAAATTAAATGTATAGTTTGCATCAAACAAAAATGAAGCATTGCAGTAAGAAATATTTATTTTGTACTGCTAAACAGCATATATATGCATGTCAGTTTAATAAATTATATTTCTGCTGCAAAACAAACAAAAGATTATAATAAAATATTAAATTCAAGGCTGAAAGCTGCAAAACAGTCATCAGTAACTACTAACTAAATAAAAAAAATAATATACACCTCAAGAAAGAATAGGCCAAAAGAAAGTAAGTAAGTCTCACTTCTATCACTCTTTAAAGGTTTTGGTTTCAGTTTGTGTCAATTTAAATGTTCCGTCTGAGCTGATTTTCATTTTTTTGTGTTTGTGGAAAAGCAGGCGAGTCAGCCGACCCAATTTATGAACAGGTTGAGCATCGGCGCAATACCGCTCGCTGTTTGTTATGAGACGCAGTTTCAGTGTAAACTTAGTAAAGCCGAGCTTCTTTGGAGATGATACAGTATTAGATTTGACTTTTAGCAGACATTTGCGCTGAACACGCAGTGAATGCAACGCATCGAGATTCGGCCACCTTCTCCGAAAAGCACATACTCGATTGATCTCAGCTGGCAGATCAATATTCACCACATGTCATAATCGCTCTCATCTGCGCCTCAACTTTAGGTGGGGTTTGCACTTTGCAAACCTGTGTGCTTTAAGTTTTCACTCTTCAGCCGTTTGCATTTCCCGTGGACATAAAAGCTCCCCCTGGTCATCTAACAGTGAAAAGCCTTGGGTGATTGACAGCTAATATGAACCAATATAGCGGCAGGGAAGAGCGATTCAGCACGTTTTAAAAAAAAATCAAAACAGGTCGCACTAATGCGCCCAAATATATTATGAGGTAGCATTGATTAATTTTCGGGCGCATATGCGACCAAAATGGTCGCAATTTCGAGCCCTGTACAAACTTTGATACATTAAAAACACTGTAGGTGGAGAACATAAATGAATTAAATAATTAAAACAAATTTGATAAAGTGCATAACTAAATAAGGTACAGATGCCTACATGTATACAACAATTCCAATGTTAAAATTCAAGGCAATAAAGGAATACAAACTGTTATGTATTATTATTATTATTATTATTATTATTATTATTATTATTATAAGAAGTTGGAAGGTGTTATCAGTCTAGATCCAGCTGGAGAGTTTTAACATAAGTAATGTTATTTATATAGTGCATTTATCGTTTATGGTTATACACCAAAAGTGCTTCACAATCATGAGGGGGGGGGGGGTCTTTCCATACCACCACCAGTGTGCAGCATCCACTTGGATAATGCGATGGCAGCCACAAGACAACTGTGCCAGTGCACTCACCACACAGCAGATATACAGTAGGGGGAGTGGAGAGAATCAGTTGATGAGGATGATAGGTAAAGGCTGATGGAGGGAATTTGGCCAGGACACTGGGGTTACACCCCTACTCTTTACGATTAGTGCCATGGGATTTTTAATGACCACAGAGAGTCAGGACCTCGGTTTAACGTCTCATCCGAAAGACGGCGCTCACAAAACAGTATAGAGTCCCCTTCACTATACTGGGGCATTAGGACTCACACAGACTGCAGGTTGAGCGCCCCTGCTGTCCTCACTGACACCACTTCCAACAGCAACCTGGTTTTCCCATGTGGTCTTTGACCTAGGTACTGACCAGGCTCAGCCCTGCCTAGCCTCAGTGAGTAACCGCTCTTGGGCTGCAGGGTGATATGGCTGTGTTAAATAACTATAATAACAATAATAATAATAATAATAATAATAATAATTATTATTATTATTATGATTAAACTGATTTTATTCCAGCCAATCTGAAAGAAATAGGAAAGAAATAATCTCCAGAAGATAGAATTTTATAGTAAATATCGTGAATGTTTTCTAACCTTGTTAAAAAGCACTTGGAAAATATTTGAAGACAAATTTCACAGGTGGGCCAAAACATTTGGACTTTAACTGTATGTAAAAGTGTCATGAATACACACAGGTGCGATAAAGCACATTTGAGGACACACCTGATACTGTTGTGATGGTTAAGTAAAGCAGTTTCGGGTGACCCATTGTGCCTGAATGAGACACTAGACTCACAAACACTACTCTAACTTGATCAGCTTACAAACCCAGCGTACAACTCAGAAAGCCACAGCCATCTGAACCTGTATTATATCTGCTGTCGGTGGACAAAAGCAGCATTGTGGCTAAAAGCTGTCAGAATAATGCTAACTATATCACATTATGGCTCTTTGATCATTCGACTCATCCTCTCACTGTTATCAATGCCACAAAGACACATCAAAACACAGCCGCTTTTACACTAAAAACTGTCAAAACATAGTGTACAGTGCACTTTAAAAGGGCCAGATCATCGTCTTTCTTGTCAGTCATCAGTAATCAAGCTTACATTTTACATCTAAACATGTGAAGTTGATATGAACTGAATGTAAAGTCTGCTATGGTTTAAAACAGGGGTCACCAATCTTGGTCCTGGAGGGCCGGTGTACCTGCAGGGTTTAGCTCCAACTTGCCTCAACACACCTGCCTGGGTGTTTCAAGTATACCTAGTAAGACCTTGATTTGATTGTTCAGGTGTGTTTGATTAGGGTTGGAGCTAAAATCTGCAGTACACCGGCCCTCCTGGAACAAGTTTGGTGACCCCTGGTTCAAAAGATCTCACTGATTTACATTTTGGGCATGTAAAACACCAGCAAATGTTTGAACTTCTGATTAAAATGCTGAATTTTTTTCCCCCCCAAGGATAAACTAGATATCATAAGACTATATGATAAACTAAAGACATAAAATCCTGATGTGTTATTTAATATTTTTTAAGATTGTCTAAATGGTTTTATTTCTATTAAAAAAGAAAAACGTTGACCCTTCTACAGTATATTGTCAGGCTTTACATGGTTAAGAAGACAACCATTTCAAAGCATGCATACAAAGAAAGAGCAAAATAATCATTTATGAAAGCTGGGGCTGCATGATAAAGGATAAATTTAGACAATTTTAAATAAAAACTTTTTTTTTTTTACAACATATAACGCTCTAGGTTAGTGTTTAACAGCAGATGCTGCTTTAGCTAGTTTTTAATAGCACAGGGCTCTCTAGGCTAATGTTTAACAGCGCTCTAGGCTAGTTTTCAACAACAGACAATGCTCTAGGCTAGTTTTTAACAGCAGATGCTGCTCTAGGCTAGTATTTAACCGCAGAAGGTGTTCTAGGCTAGTTTTTAACAGCAGAAGGTGTTCTAGGCTAGTTTTTAACAGCAGATGCTGCTCTAGGCTAGTTTTTAACAGCAGAAGGTGTTCTAGGCTAGTTTTTAACAGCAGGTGCTGCTCTAAGCTAGTTTTTAACAGCAGAAGGTGTTCTAGGCTAGTTTTTACCAGCAGATGGCGCTCTAGGCTAGTTTTTGACAGCACTCTAGGCTAGTTTTTAACAGCAGATGCTGCTCTAGGCTAGTTTTTACCAGCAGATGGCGCTCTAGGCTAGTTTTTAACAGCAGATGCTGCTCTAGGCTAGTTTTTGACAGCACTCTAGGCTAGTTTTTAACAGCAGATGCTGCTCTAGGCTAGTTTTTAACAGCAGAAGGTGTTCTAGGCTAGTTTTTAACAGCACAGGGCTGCTCTAGGGTAGTTTTTAACAGCAGAAGGTATTCTAGGCTGGTTTTCATTAGCAGAAGACGTTCTAGGCTAATTTTTAACAGCAGATGCTGCTCCAGGCTAATTTTTATTAGCAGAAGACATTCTAGGCTTGATTTTAACAGCAGATTATGCTCTAGGCTAGTTTATAATTGCAGATGCTGATTTAGGCTAGTTTTTAACAGCTGAAGGCATTCTAGGCTAGTTTTAACAACAGACGACACTCTAGGCTAGTGTTTAACAGCAAACGACACCCTAGGCTAGCTTTTAACAGCAGACGACGCTGTTCAAAATCCATTAAAGGATTCTACTGAAATCCTCGTCAGATATTCTGATTCTTATTCACTATTTGTCTGTGGCTTGTATCTCATCCTGCTAGTGTTTATTTTTATCTCTTTGCTATGAGGCACTTAAGTTCACATTTGGGTCAGTCTTGCCATCTGATTTAGCCATCTCTAGACCCCATCTGATTGGTCAAATCTGCAAAAACAACCAACTGCATGCATGCAACACAAACTTTGCTACTGCACCTCTGCGATACGGATATTGCATATTCTATTGTCACAATAATGATCAGTGTTTCAATATATTGTGCAGCCATAATGAAACTCCTTTGTTTATTTTTCTCCCCTTATATATTAACACTGCTTATTATTTTATTTTACTTTTAGTCTTGTGATTTTGTCTAACCCTTGCCTGTATAGAACTTTGCTGAACACTTGTTCCTTAAAAAAGTGTAATAAATAAACATCGATTACTTTGATTTGATCAGGTTTTATAGTGATCTATAGTTTCTGCCATCTATTCTACAAATATGGGATCCTCTGTTTCCCCCTGTGTCATCCAGACGGCTTTCCCACACCCCACCCGGCCTTCATCCACAAATCCAAGAGATCTCCCAAACGCAGAGGTTTCTTCCGCAGCAGATTGACCAGAAAGAAAGCGAGCCGCGATGAGAGAGAGAAAGGGAAGAGCCGAGCGTGTGCATTAAGACAAGTGCAGCTGACTGTGTCAGATCTGGGTCTGGGCTACCGGAGTCAGGAGGAGCTCATATTCAGCTACTGCAGCGGCGTCTGCACAAACTCCCTCACAAACTACGACAAAATCCTCACCAGCCTCACGGGCGGCGATAAAAACATCCTGCACAGCTCTCCTCCTACAACCTGCTGCAGACCAGTCGAATATGATGATGACCTGTCCTTTCTGGATGACAATCTGATATACCACACTATGGGGAGACACTCGGCGCGCAAGTGTGGCTGTGTTTGAGACAATCAAAAAAAAGGCAGACCAGAGGATCAATACAAGCAATTTCATTTGAGCACGGCTCGCTTGAAGGAATCATCATTTCACTGCAGATACAGGATAAGGAA